TTCTATGTTGTTGTACTTTTTTTTAACATGTTCAAAATAAAGATTCAATCAAAATCAAAATGCTCGAGAAGATGTGTTGCAGTTAAAAAACCAGCTAAAGCTCTCTCTCCTTCTAACTGTCGCCCCTCCAAGCTGAACTGACTAATGTGGAAGGTATGTGCTGAGCCTACAACCTCTGCCGCCGTAGGCCTCTGGAATTCTAATTCACATGAGGAACGCCCAACTTCACCAGTCACACCAAATCCTGCTGCTGCTGCTGCTGTGGTCCATTCTTTCTTTTTAATCCCACTGTTTCACTCCGTCCATCATTTACGCGTGCTTAGCTTCAAGCAGAGCAGAAGGAGACATGGCGGCAGGCGAGGCTGTGCGAGTGGTGGGAGAGCAGCTAAATCTGGGTGAGCAATCAAAGAGTCTGGGTTTGGAGGGGATCAAAGAAGTAGGCCACACAGGTTTCAACCTAAACCAGAAAAGGCCTGCGGGAGGAGTTAAAAGGCAGTCTGATGTGTGCAGCTACAATGACTGATCCTGACCTTACTAAATAAGCTGCTGCTGCCTTGCTGTGTCGTACTTTATCCTGAATATATTTGATGTTGCCTTTATACGTTCCCAGTTTGTTTGGATTAGTCCTTAAAATCTAGTTTGGCTCGACATTAGCAAGAAACACGTCTTTTAGACTGCGTTTGGCTTATTTACAGCTCGTATCTTTTTCTAGTGATCAAACAGCACTGTTTACATTTTTGATACTCGAGGTTTTATATGATGTCAGTGACAGCAGTGAGCACAGCAGCCCCAAACACCTGCTGTTCATCATTCAGGAAAAAAAGGTTACCTAAGGAGAGAAGTGCTTATAGAGCTTATTCCAGAGTGCACGAATTGGGCGGTTACACCGAAACAAAGATTATTTTGAACTGTGAATCATGCTAAGCTCTGGTAAAGTCCAAAATAATAACGTAGATCTGCAAAGAGCAGTGGGTATCCTGTAATAAACATCGATAAATATACAGAAAAATAGAATATTGGATGTCGATATGGCAGAGCTACATAAAAGAACATACAAATAAAAACTGTAGAAACAAACAGTCAAAAATAATCAACGTATGCCTATAAAATACCTGAATTCCACGCTCAACCCCACTTGCAACGATTTAAAATAATTTAAATATCAGCGACCAAAATATAAAGAAACTACGTTGTCTCAGTGGAACGTGTCTGTTTGTTTAAAAGGGCTTCAGTTTCCATGACATGGCTCTCCTAAGGAAAACCATTCCCATCAAGCATCTTCATAGCTTTGCTCTGAGAACTCAAGCCAATCAGTGTTACCAACAAAAACCACATGAGAGGCCCGGCTCCCAGGAGACGCCGCTGGATGGCTTCACCGACAAACTAACCAGGGTTGGCAAGCAACACAGCAAGGGGACAGAGTGCATTAAGAGTCATGAAATGCGTATAAAGTCTGTGAGCAAGCGCTATTGTATGTGTCACTGTGATTGTGACAGCCCGTTCTCACTCCCGAGGCGTAACATGCCGACGTTTTGTCACGTCCCGCGGCGTTCCCGAGGAAGGCGAAAGGAGACCTTCGGCGTTGTTATGGTACGC